GTTACTTTGTCACCCATAATTTGACTAGTACACGAATGTGGAAGATGGTCTAGTAATATGTATCACGAGAAATTGTGTGCGTTTACTTAAACTTTTTTTGCCAAGCATTCAAACAACGATCAAAAGTCAAAATGATGGTTTTCTTTCTTTTTTTTATCCCTGTAATACGAATTCACTTTAAGCAAGTTTGTTAATGAAAAAAATGTCAAAAAATTCACGAACAATGGAACGTCATGATTTGTGTTGACTTCAACAAGGTAATCATCTAAGGATTGAACTTTAAATGCATTGTTTTTGAAAAAAGTAGAAGAAAAAGAAAGGGAAAGTTGGGTTAACATGCTCATCAAATTTTTAGAAATAGTAGTAACCTTAGTACACTCCCTCAAAAGATCAAAATACTAGAAATATGGTATTTGTTGATCATTTAGATTACAATAGAGATCTTTATTGTGTGTTTTTTTTTTTATTATAATTCTCATATTGCTCTTCTTTAAAGGATAGTATATTACTATTTGTTTAAAAAGAACGATGGCCTCTGAATGTAAAATCCAAGAAATAATAAAATCATTTTATCGGTTTTATCATTCATTATCAGAACGATTTTTTGATTTTTTCTTTGTTCCATTTTTTTTGCTTCCCTTTTTTTTTTTTAGAGGCAATCATCCCAAGTAAGGTTCTCGGGATTTTCTTATTAAGCCATAGTAAAGGTAAATAAATTATGCTCTTAAGTCAAGGTTGACTAATTACGACTAAAAGATGATGACCATGGAAATAGGCACGTTTAAGAATGTGAATATTGATGACGCCCTATCAAAAGATGCGACCTTTTAATGACGAATCTTAGGAGAAGTAATGTCATTAGTTCGATCATAAAGTACGTAATGAATCCTCATAATCGAAAACATTATCGTGCGCAATTTTCCGTCTTGCGCTAAGGTGAAAAGTGCGACTTCAACAGTAGCACCTGCCACACGCGGTTGTTTTTTTTTTTTTTTTTTTTTTTTTGCGAAAAAACGCATAACGGACGATAAAAGACTTTTTTATGGTGGGAAATGAAAAGGACGATTAAAAGACGTTTTTTTTTTATTTTTTTTAAAAACAAAGAATGATTAAAGATTTTTTAAAAAAACGAAAAGAAGAACAATTAAAAAAACAACTAAGTTAGAAAACATTGTTAGCCAAAGAGATATCATTAGCACCTATTTAACGATTAACCTTGAAACGGTAATATCATTTTCTTCGTATAAAATTGCTTGTAACGAGTCAAAGTCAATGCTAAACAGTGGGCGCGTGCAAGACGTAGAGTTGCCGGAAGGGTCGCACGCAACTCCTGGACCTGCGCTTGGAGGGCGCGCGCAACTTTGACAGTTGCGCGGGCCACTTGGTAGGTTCGACTTTTTTTTTTTGTCGAACCAAATTTTTTGCGATTTGTTTTTTTATTATGTCTCGGTAGCAAGTTGGAATTAATTAGATTAGACACGAAGCACATAATAAGCACATATTCAAACAGTCACATAAACACATAAAAGGAACCGTCAAAGCATATAATGCTATTCTAAGGTCAAGGCTTGGGTATCCAAAGGTATCATATCTTAAGGGACGATGCACGAATCAATCACTCAACACCTTGACCCATGACATAGCCCTCCCTACATTTTGTTGGTGATATGGGTGGGATGAATTTTATTGATTTTGAGATAGAAGCCTAGTATTGGAAACGCCTAATCAATGAGCCAATCCCCAACGGGTTAAAGTGTGATGATTATGCATGATGCAATGTTGCTTGTTTGGTTTTTCCTTTTGTGAAAACGGAAGATATTATGCGTTTAATTCTCGCTCTCTAATTAGAGATTACCCAAGTTAATTCTCGTTACAACCCATAGGCAACCTAGTGTTGGAAACCTTGGACCATAATTAAAAATTAATCTTGTAACCTCTAAGCCCCCACTGGAGTCGCCACTGTAAGGAGGGCGTGCCTATCGTAGGGGATCCTTCTCCTTAAATGCTCATGTCCCTTTAAAATCTTAGAACTTTACACTTGTTAGGGTGTATTAGGATTTGAATTCTTGATTGTTTGGGGGACCTTGAATTAGAGTTGATCCTATCATTACGCTTTTTTGTAAGAAACAAGTAAGGAGTCGCCAATGAGTTTTAGGAAAACTCATAAACCTCGTTCATGTCTTTCTCCCAAGTAGAGTTCAAGGGATATTTAGCACGAATCATAATTTTACCCATGCCCAAATTGGTCTACGTGTACCAAAGAAGAGTTCAGGGAGCGAGGGTACTAAAATAACGTTCCTTTTAGGGAGGAATTGCTATTCTAGCTCTAGTGCGGCCTCTAGTAGCTCTTTCGTTTTCACAATTTTATCATTTAACAATATATGCAACGTAATACCTAAAAATTAAGTTAGTTTATTTTATTTACACACGTCAATTATGTAGGAATTACATTGCAAAAGTCGTTATTCTTATTTAATTAAAATTCGTGAAAAGAACAAAAATAAACAATATTCGTCTTGTCTTAAGTGATAAAAACAATAATTAATTATCAAATTCTAGTCTTGATTAACGAAAGAATACTATGTGAATTAATTAGTTAATTAAAAGTTTGTTTAAGTGGTCAAACAACACTAATTAATCAATTAAAGTTATTTAAACAAGAAAAGAAAAGTGATTTATCTAAATGCTCAGGAAACTACCGTTCTTCTTTGTATGCTTAGATCTCTGTTATAGATGTTTATGGACCTTACTTCTTCTTTGTACCTCCAAGGGCTTCAATGGATTCAATTAGGGTTGGAAAGTATTTGGGAAGAGAGAAGAAAAGTAGTATGATAGTAAGAGGTAGGGTTTGAGAGATTGGGGGTTTCAGAATTTAGGGTTTTGAATTCTGATTTTTCTGTCCCCTTTAGGGTTGAACAAAGACCACTATTTATAGGCGTAGGAATCCATATTTAGGGTTTTAGAGCCGCGCTGTCAGGTGGCACACGCAACTCTCTGAGTCACGATGGGTGGCGCACGCATCTCACTAAGTTGCGCTCGGCGCGGTTTGCCTTACACGAAAACGCGTTTTTTAAAACTTCCATAACTTTTATTGCAAAGTCGGATTAAGGCGTGTGAGATATCATTGGAAAGCACTCAATGTCTACTTTCTAATTCCGTTAGAATTAGGTTAAAATATATTATGGATCAAAAGATATAGCTTTTGAAGTACAAGGGTGTTGATTTTAAGGCCCCGATTCAATGTTTTGATCATAACTTCTTCGTTTTAACTCGTAATTGGGATTATAATATACCGTTAGAAAGATCTTTGAAAGGGCCATCCATATAAATTGGCCATGAACGGAAATATGAATTTTAGTTTATCTGTTTGGCTCGGTTTTCTACAATGTAAGATCCATTGGATCGAATCATTGTATTTGACGCATTTGGGTCCGTTATTAATAAAGTTTAAACATGTATGAGCACGTTTTAAGCCAAACTAGTAATCGGAAAAGGATATAAGATAACTTGGCCTTAAATATGGGTTTTGATATAATTCATAATGCATTTCATAGTCCATAAACACTTCAATTTTGATCTAGCATGAAGAACGGATTTTTGTAACATCATCGCACTTCCTATCGGGGCAAGAGGCCGAAAGTAGGTGTCTACACATTGTAGAGAAATTTTGTCATTCTTCAATTAATTTATAATTTTTCTCTTTTTCTGGCTATATTATAGTGCATGGTTAGAGTGTCAAGAAAAGATAAGTTTCTTAGGATACATCTTTCCATGACTAGGGTTACAAACATGAAGCATGGCAGGAAGGAAAAGAAAGGAGGGAACTGCAGGGTAATTTGAATCATTTTGTTTCAATATAGTAATACCGTCGCTATTTCTATCCAACAACAGCCCCACACAAAAAGTTCCCTACACAACTTCCAGCAACACACATAGACATAACCAAATACCAAGCCCAACCACCCCAACCTCACACACCCTATACTATTCTAACCCGCATCAGCCCAATAATACAAAAGGTGGTTCTTACAAGATCTTAATCTCAGTGCATTGAAGCACAATCAATCAAAATCTACAAAAAAAAAAGAACATACAGAAAAACATCCAACAGAAAGGCCCATCTAGCAACAAAAAAAAGGAAAAAATTCCCAACCAAAGCAATAAAATCCAATGTAAGCATATAGATGCAGATACTATGGTGCAACATAAATAACTTCAAATGCAGTTTTATGAAGCAGCATGTACATTATATTGTCCTGCATTGTAAATAAAATTACTCAAAAGTAAACCAAACCATATAATAAGTAAATAAAATAATCTATAAAGTATATGTACACTCACTGGGGGTTTTAGATAGTTCTTAGTTGCTCAAATAGCTAAGATTTTCAAAGGCCTCAAACACAATCCATACTCCAACACATCCCAAAGACTGTCAAAATTAAAATTAATAATCAACAATCTAATAAATTTTACCTAATATGATTTCAACAAGGATAATAAATCCCAATAGTCAAAGGCTCATAGCACAATTATAACACACTAACTTAAACAATCAAACAATTTAAAGAGCATAAAACTTAAATTCAGGTATATCAAACTGAAAACTCAATCGAACAAATTTAGAATAAGAAAATCGAATCAAGTATAAATCAAACAAATAATATGAGGGAGGAACTGAATTAGGGAGGTACTGAATAAAAAATTCAAATCATATGTATTATTTAAATCAAATCAAACGAATAATCTGCAATCCCTTTTTGAATGCATTATTGCTGCTACAGAAATATGGAGTCTGTCTCATTATATCTCATTTCAACCATATCATTATAAAATGCATGCACTAATCTATTTTTTCGAAGAGTATATTGTTATATCAATTATATCACACAAGCTTCAGATATGCTGTTATTTTCTAGAATCATTTTTCAAATGAAATGATATTCTAACATTACAAACCATGCTTCTATTATAAATATTCCCAATTAACTCAAAGGACATAATGAGATCTTAAATAACACATCAAAATTTCCAAAGCAAAATAGTTGTACAACTACATTGATAACTTTTATCAATAGGGAATAGGATGGACTATGTTACAATACAAAGTTTATACTTGGTATACTACACAAGCTAACTATCCAGAATAAGAAGTGTAATAATGTCAAATCTAAGAGAACAAAACAAATGATAATTATACCTAATTTTACAATGCATCCAACGTAAAATTCCAAACCTTAAATCCTAAATCATGTATGTTTGTTATAAAGTGATTCTTTCTGACACATTATTTCTTCTCAAGGGCTAACAAAAGCCTCCATTATCTAAAATTTACTTTACTTTTAAGGCTACTTTGTTTACTTTAGCCTAATTTTCTATTACTTTAACACATAATATTCATCAGGGGTAAGGATTGTTACAGAATCCTTGGCGTGTTGGCGATGTCTCGTTGAATCAACCTTCACAAACAGGAGAAAAATCTTCTTCTATCTCATTATCAGTAGCATTCCCTACAAAACAAGTGAGGCAAGAAAATTTTCAGCCATTATTGCTTTCTCTAATAACCAATCAGTGACCACATTCATGCCGAATTTCTTATCAACTTAAAATTTAAGCTGCAAATTCAAGATGGAATTTGATAAAAAAAAATTGATCTAATAGTTTAATAGTACACATTACATAAAACTATTATATAATCAGACATTTTTCTATGCTTCAAAGATAAAAGTAAATTTGCAATTACAATAAAACGTAAAAACATAGAAATTATAAAATTAAACAAAATTTACAAAGTTTACTTGTAATTTTAAGAGTTCTCAACATAAATTCGACAAATTACACAGAAAAATTGACAATTTGGATCAAATTTCAGACATTACTTCAGATTCAAGTAAGTAGTTAAGCATTTGATGAAAATCAGTGATGACGAACTGATAGATAATGAAGATTTGACGGGTATATAGCGAAATTTAATAACAAAATTGCAAATTAGGAAACATATAATTTTAAAGCACCAAAATTTAAAGGAACCTTATAAAAATATCATCATAATTAGCACTAATTTGAACAAATCAGGATATAAATTAAAAATTCAACCAAAACCCTAAAAAATAAAGAAAAAATTTGCATACCTCAAACAACGAAATATCATCAAATTTTTTGGATCAATTAGGTGAAAGATGAGTATAGAGAAGAAATTTGAATTGAACTTGTATCGCTATTCGCTAATGTGAAACAAAAATCAAACAAGGGATTAGAGAGAACATAGAAGACGAGAGAGAAAGTAAAAAAGAAAAATAAAGAACCGAAAGAAGACCAGAAACCATCAAAGCTATATTTACAAAATATGCAATTGATGAGTCGGGTAAGATCTCATCCGTCGGAACAAACTAAACCAAAGGCTTAGATTAGTTCCTAGTTCTCATTATTCACCTGAGTTCTCACCTTAATTATATATATATATATATATATATATATATATATATATATATATATAGGGGAGGGACCCGGTGAGAATAGGTTCATATGTGAGAATTCATACTTATATGAGAACTGATTTTAAATTTAGAACATGTGAGCAAAAGTTTAGAACATACGAGTAAAAATTTAGAACATGTGTCTGAAATTAAAATTTACAACATCTGATTAATAATTTAGAACATCTGAGTAATATGTTTAATTTGATTTAAGAATTAGAACAAGTGATTAAAAATTTATAAAATCTACTTTATGAAATTTTAAACATATGAGTAAAATTTAGAACATCTGTTTAAGATTATGAACATGTGAATAAAAATTTAGAACAAACTGATATAGAATATAGAAAGTGTGAGTAAAAAATTTAAAACATACTAATAAAAAAATAGAACATACACTTTAAAATTTGGAACATATAATTAAAAATCTTAAAACACACATTTTAAAATTTAGAACATATAAGTTAAAATTTTGGAACAAGTTATTTAAAATTTATGATATTAAACTTAACTTATATATGGTTTAGAACATGTGAGTTTGAACATTTGATTTAATTTAGAACACCTAAGGAAAAGTTTAGAACATCAGATTTAAAATTTAGAACATACGAGTAAAAATTTAGAACATAAAGAGTGTTCTCACATAAGAAAAATTCTCACATAAGAAAATTTCTCAGCCTCCCCCTATATATATATATATATATTTATTTATTTTTATTGTTACTGTATTATTGATTAGTTACCCTTCTTGTCACCTCCTAATATAGTTGAATTGCACTATAAAAATGTACGAGTATATATACATTATAAAAAGTATTAACCATGCATGGGCAAAGATATGGGGGCCGGGGGGCTGGTGGAGGCTTGGCCTCCCCGACCCATCATGGCAACCCAGTTTTTTTTAAATGTTGGCACCCACAACCTAACATTTATGAATAAATGTGAATTTTAACTTAAAAATAATAGTCAATTTGGGTGTCTTAGTTGTTTTGAAAAGGAAATTATAGTGCTTTGTTGAATTGTTGGCATGTTAAAGGTCACGGGATCAATACAATATATGCTTTTTTGCCTTCTCTCTATTTTCAAAGTCAGTTTTCCCCATCCTTTTTCAAATTAATATCATTTTAGATGTATATTTGACTAAATTTTTTTTCCTAATATATACATATGAAAATACGTCATTATTGGTCGGGTTGAGTATTTAATCTTTGAGTGCTTAAATCCATATTTCCATTTCATAAACAAAACCCAATTCCTAGCCCAAATCCCAAATCCATAACTTATTTTCCTCTTTTCGTGCCTTTAAACCCAAAATAATTCATTCGTGTCCTTTACAATCATTCATTTCGTGTCCTTTTTATAAAAAACGTTTAGTCTAGTTTATTTTGGTCCATAATCTGGGTCCAATGATTTAATAATTGTATGGGGCTTTAAAATAGCTTTCCAACGATATATTATAAGCCCAAATATGAATTATAACGAATAAGTTATGACCAAAATATTAAACTGGGCCCAAACCGAACCTAAGCCCACCTTACCTACGACCCAATGATCATGTGGATGGTCCAAAGGATTTAATCCCATTCCTAAACAAATTAGGATTAATTGGAAGCTTCTATAAGTTTCTAAAATATCTTAATTATCCTTTTTGAAAAGATAAGATTAAAGAGTTTGAAATTGAATAAAACTTTTCTTTTTGAAAGTCCTAATTCTATCCAAATTGAAAGACGTTCAAAGATAGACATATATTATTTTCTTGTCTCATAGTTTTTATCCAAATCTTAGATTTTTGGATAGCCCTTGAAATTATCTTTCCAATGAAATATAATAATATCAATTTCGAGCTATAACGGAAAAGATATGAATGAAATATCAAACTATCCAAAACTGACACCGTCTCAGTACTATTTCGGCCATATTTTTTATTCTAAAAAGTATTTTAATCTGATTCTAATTAGGTTAGAAATTAGACTTCAACATCTTTCCAAAGACATATTATTTAGGAAAATTATTAATGGTACACCCAAGGTTCGGGCTTTTATCAGTGGTACACCAACTTAAGTTTTGTTTATCACCAGTACACCCAACTTTTCACACACTCATATACAGTACACTAACGTTAAACAAACGTTAAGTAAAGGTTAATTTATTGTAAATTCGAATTTTCTAACTTAAAAAATTCCCTCCTTTTTTCCCTCTTCACTTCCCCTCCTTTATTTAAGCTACCCCACCCACCCCCTCTTACTAAATAGTTTCCCTCCCTCCTGATTTTCCCTCTTCCCTCTTTTCCTCTATATCGAATTTCTTCTTCTTTTTCTGTTTTATTTTTTATTTTTTATTTTTCTTATCAATGTCTTTTTTTGGCATGGGTTCCTCTAGCAACAGAAATGGGAGGGGTTTATGGTTCAAATCGGTTAATTGCAACTGTGACCCCTCAAGATATGCTGATATCAGATTCTCAAGCTTTGTTTCAAACCCAGGAAGACCCTACTACAAGTGCAGATCGTGTGAGTTCTTCATGTGGGTAAAGGAGGATCAGATGGTTAGTGACACAGCAAGTAGAGTGGCTAGTACAGCTGAAGCTACAAGTGTTCAACTTCCGAGGAGAGAATTTAATGAGTTTTTGCATAGAACAAATGAATTTGCTGACTTTGTTCATTTAGTGGTTAAAGTTGCCATTGTTATGTATTAGGTGTTATTAGTGGTAGCTCTGAAATAATGTAATGGGAGGGGTTTGTAATTTGCTGCTGTAATTTGCTTATTGAATATCAATAAAAGCTAAGTCATTGCCGACTTTTTATTTCAATATTGATGAACTTAATTTCAATAAAAGCTACTATAGACAAATGTAAAGCAAATCCAAATGCATAAATCAATACACAAAATAAACTGCATTTTCCATTCATTGCATATGTCCAAAGCTTACACTACCAAATTAATTGTCAAAAGCATAATATAGAAAACTGAAATTTAAACTGATTGTCAAAAGCTACTACAGATAAAAACAACCCTATAGTATCAGTACACAAAAAACTGAGTTTTGTACTGTTTTGAACCATTAAGCATCAAGCTATGAGCTATGCATCTAAGTTTAGGACAGTGTCTGGCTTAGAGGGGGCTGACTCTGCATTTGTGAAGCATCAAGTAATGTTGCCATCTGTTGTGCAGCCTCTTTGTTAGTGGGACCTCCCTTACATGACCTAAAATTATGACCAAAAGTCCCACAGTTACCACACTTCAATGTCCTTGATCTTTTCCCAGGTTGTTCATCCCCTTCTTCCCTTCTTCTATTCCTGTTGGGCCTACCAATCCCTCTTTTCATTTTTGGAGGGTCAATGTGAGGGAATGCATCCATGCTTGGCTACTAACTCATATCAGGCACTGGATTTATGTAGTGGTTGTAAAGTTGCTTGTACGTTTTCACAGAATACCAAGAGCTGATGTAATTGTATGGATCAACCTTTGCATGGACCATTGCTCTGATGGCATCTCTGAAAGGTATCCTAGATAGTTGCCAAGCACTACAAGAGCATATCTTGTTGTTCAAGCTCAATGGGAACTGAGATTTTCCCTCATGTATCTCATACTCTCCTGGACTGGATGGGTATGCTTTGTAAGAGGTGGTTGCCTTGCTAATGTCCTTCACTTTCCTAGCTATCTTAGGGAAAACATCATCATCATTCCAAGACTTTGATTTCTCATGCCTAGTTGACATCCTGACCATACACACCCTTTTAATTCCTATGCCAAGAAACAAGATCAATTTAGCATATATTAGCATATTTAAGTAAAAATGAATCAAACTCTTTTGAAATTTTATCTTCCAGGAGATTTAAGACAGGTCTGCACCTATCAACCCCAAGGGTTGAGTTAAAACTCTCCACAAAGTTTGATGTGTTTGAGTCATTACAAACATTTGGATCAAACATGTGTTTGCTCCATCTAGACTGATCACCAATGTCAGCAAACCACTTAATGACCTCTTCACCTCCCTCCTTTTGAAGCTTCTCCATGGATTTTCTAAAGCTGAATTTGCTAGTTACATTACAGGCCCTCCAAAACAGGATATACATTAAAGGTCCTAGGAATAGCTTTTTGGAAGTTTCTACTAAGGTGTCTGCAGCAATACCTTCTCCTAGCTGCAGGGCAAACTTGCTTCAAAGCTATGTCAACACCCTATAGGAACAAGTTCAAATCAGTTATACAAAGTCTAAATGTGTTTGCAACTGTTTAATAGAATACAAAAATACAAGTACCTTTTTTCTATAAGATATTATAGTCCAATCTTTCCTCTCCGAGTCCTTAATAAGGTTGTGCAGATGCCAAAAGAAGTATGACTAGCTTTCCTTGTAAGAAGTATGACTAGCTTTCCTTGTCTTCAGCACTAACTACATCATAAGCAACTGGGGAAAATTTCATTGTTTGGGTCAATTGCAATAGCAGACAACAAGATACCCCACAGTTGCCCTTTAAATGTGCCCCATCAACACCAATTAAGGGTCTGCAACTACTTAGAAGAACCTTCCACTGCCCAGCAAAAGAGATGAAGATGCTGCTAAACAAGTTTACTCTTGGGATGCTCTCACTCAGATTTCATGCAACAAATGATGTTGATTCTGAGTTAGTACTCTTGATCACCTCTGCATATGTAGGTAACTGAGTGTAAGACTCTTCATGCCCTCCAAACAGGACATCTCTAACATACCTCTTCAATCTGTAGAGAAAAGCTTGCTTCATGTATATGTCATACCTTTGAAATAGCAGCTCATTCAAAGCTTTCCCAGGGATATCTGGATTAGCCTTGATGTCCTCCATCACTTTATATGCAGCCCACTTGACACTGCACATTGGGTTGTATGTCT